GTGTCTTTCACGCCAAGGTGAGAGGACAGTGGAAATGGAAGCGAGGTGACTCTGATAGACCTGGGTTTGACCTTTGTATGTGGTGGTCTCTAGCCACAATGAAATATTGGTGCGTTCTAAAACTGGTCATGTTGTTATTTTAGTTTCAGAATGTGTAAGCTCAGTGATGAGAGTTATTACCAAATAGAGAGTTCTTTCCTTTTAGACACAGAACTTTTGGGGTTTTTTGTCTTTTGACAGGTCCTTGGAGTACATCCAAACTATCCAAAGATCAGAAAGGAAATACTTGACAAGGCCCGTGCATCACTAAGAACCTGAATGAGTTTTTTTATGACTCATGGACTTTTGTTTAATCAGACTTCGGAAGCTATGAATGAAATGCTGCAGTGACAGAGACCGTATCAGCACAAAAGTATTGTGAATAGGATGAATTTAATTATAGTAGAGATCTGGATTACTTTCAGGAGAAGTCTGCAACCCTGAAAAAAATTGTATTTTTTCTCGTTTAGGAAAGAATTCTACTCCTATGTGTGTTATGTAAAGTGACATCATAAAAGAGTGTTGTCAGCATTATAAAATTGTTTTAAAGCATATATCTCAGTATTTTGTTTTGTTTATTTGAAATAGCATTCAAAATAACAACCTGTCTTATCTAGGGGAGATACATTGTTAAGATGGTGGATTTCAGTTTGTGTAAACCATTACTTCATAATTACAGTGTAATCTTTATTCTACAGGTGTATTTCTAAGTTATGGGGGCATTTTTTCTACATATAGTAAAGTCATGCTTTATTTTTTTTTAATCTTGAAAAAACAGATATGTTCATTATTCTCTGTGAAATTTACATTTTTAATGAAAATGTAATAGTTAAAATTAAAATCCTATGTAAATATTCAGTAAAGACTTTTATAGATCATGCAAGTCTCACATTTACCTTCTGCTCACCTTGTCTTTTACCCACCTGTCAGATTTCTATGAAAAGAAATGTCCTTAATTTGCAGTGCTTAGTCTTTCAGCATTGTATGTGTAGGCAATACAGTCATATGTGCAGAAATTAGCACTTAATTTGTTTAATCCATATAAAACACTTTTTTAGAGAAATAATTTTTATTAGAGGGGATTATGATCTTGTCTCACATACAGAATATACCTGTGTATCTTTAAGGGAGCAATATCATGTCATGAATGAGAGGAAGGAGAAGGATCACATTGTTTTCACTGATGCAGAATTTTTGAAAAAAATAATGCCTAACAAAACCCACTGTTGTACTGCTGTATTTGGTTTTCAAACAGCACTTGTTGTATGTTTCTTACTAGAAAAGTAATGTTTTGGCATGAAAAGGGAATTCTTAATGCTAGTGATTAAGTTGCTTTATTTTATAAGCAATTTCAGTTTCCTCCTCAGCTGATTTTAGCTTCTCTTCTTGACATTGTGTAAAGTCACTTTCAGTGGTTTCTTTTTATGACAACTGAATGATAAGGCTGCAAAAGGCAGCCTGTTTACAGTCAATCTAATCTTGCTTATCAGTACCTGGATGCTGTATCTTGAGTAACTTTATAGCCTTGTTTCCTGAATACATGGATATGCATCACTTACACAGTGTTTGCTGGTGTTTGCAGTTTGTTTACTGTATTCCAGTAACTTTTGAGCTCTTGGTCAGCTAAACTAAAATGAATAGATGTGTTTCAGGGCTATGACACTTCCACAAGATTTGTGTGAATATTAGAATTGAGAAAAGACTCAAATAAGTGTCCTCTCCTTCCCTACGGAACCTTGAGACTTACAGTGTAGCCTGTCAGTTCTGTTTGAGCACTGGCAGTCCCTGGGTACATGACTGTACCAGGCACAGTACAAGCTCCCTGGTTTTTTACCTGTAAGTTTTGCAGTGTGATAGAGCTCAGAGGACAAAGATTTAGTATAGTAGGGAAAAACTGATGGTATTGGAGTGGAAGGAGGAATATGAAAGGACCTAGAAAATGCTAAGGCTGGGGGGAACTCTAAGGGAGCTGGGCTGTGGGAGTCACTGTGCTATGAATTCCTAAACTATGCTCTTTTGCTTTTTTTCCCACTGTTAAAAGAATAAGTACATAGACCTTACTGAGGCAGTTTCTAGTAAAACAGCATTTCTTTGTACACAGCCTTATTCATGCAGGATCAATGTGTTGTTGCTTCCTGGATAGCATAGGAATAACATTTAGCTGAATTTTAGAATAAAAATAGATGGGTTTACATTAATAAATGCAAGATGATTTCAAAAAAGGCAAGACATCTGCATCTACGTTTTTCTCATAAGATGGACATTAGCCCTTCATAAGATGGGTGTGACAGATTAAGTCATCATAGTGATAAGATACAGAAATTAGTTGATAGAAATTGGACTGAGACTTTAAGCTTTCTGTCGCTAACTTCTGGTGAAGAGTTTTATGCATAAACCTGCATGCAGGTAAAAGATTTCTGAATCCCCATTAGCCCTCTTGAGCATATATAGGCACTGGTGTCTTTATAGATGAGGTCTTTAAAAGAAAAGTGTAAATGACACACATCTTTGGATTTCAATTAAAAAAAAAAAAGTGGCTCCAAGTAGTCCTTCAGAGAAAATCTTGCTTCAATATAGTAATCTCAGAAGAAGTAAATGTCCTTTCCATATCCCTTTTGGTTTGCGTAAGCCAATTTAAGTTTTCTTGTACTTACAATTTTTTTTTTTTACTTTATCTGCAGAAGGAGTGGCTTTGTGCCATTTCTCTTTACTCCATCTAACTGAAAGTGTTAATTCAGTTTCTTATTTTAAAAAATGCATGTTCTGGTAGTTTGGTGGGGTTTTTTAGCCCTTTTCTTAACAAGTGGGTTTGAATGGAAGAGACTTCTGGGATGGAGGGGAGTCAGTAATGCTGATTTCAAAGCACTGCACTCTTTAGTGTGATGTTGCTTAGCAACCCATCTTCCAGTTTTGCCTTTGATGAATAAAAGAGGAGAGTGAAGCTGTGGTTTCTATTGATTCATTCACTGAAACTGAAAATCTAAGCATCTTGTAGCTATGGCAACATAAGCCATAGGTGTCTCTTCCTCTTCTCTCTTGCCCCCCTTTTACCTGCAGGTACAGAATGCCTAGAATATATTCTAGAGGGCATGTAAAAATTGTTGATAACTGTTCTAAGTAATAATTCTTTTTTAATTTGCTACTGCTTTTTTCACATTTGTGCCAATACTAGAAGATGGTCTAGGAAGTACCATTAGGGAAAATAATTAGTATGAGTAGCTAAAAATAACTAGTAAGACTCTTAAACAAAACTAGAGTAAAAGGAATGTGAAAGGTTTTTCCTGTTTTTGGACTAGGTTTGTCTACTGTGAATAACTTCTCAAATGTAGTGTAGCTACAGTAATTTTTAGAAAGGCTGTAGACTTTTTAAAATCAGGCAGCTCTGGTTTAGTAAACTAAACTTTAATCTTGTTATTCATTAGGTGAGTAGTTTATTTATAAACACAATACCTTAAACAGAGTTTATAATGTTAGAGAATTTGCTGAAAATTTTCTGAACTAATTATCTTTGAAATTGGTCCAGGAGACATTTCAGGGAAGTCTCAATAGTGGGAGTGGATTCTGGCTCTTCAGAAGCTGATGACAGAGAGAGCTCATTAGTGTGTTTCATGTACAATGCTGAACAGGGAGAAAATAAGAAATCAAGGAAGTATTTCATTAACAAGTACTTCTCCATCAGCTTGTGATTATGCCACTTTTCAAAGATCACAACAGTGATTTCGCGATCTTGCTTTATTTGCTCAGTGGTTTTACCTCTTGCTTCATCTTGCAATGAAATCAGAACCCTTTGTTGTTTGAAACATTGATCTGCCTTCGAATGTTGAGAATTGGACCATTATGGCAAAAATCACATGCTTTTATCTCTGCTATATGTTGTTGCTAATTATGTGACGGTTCTTGCTAGAAGAGGAGCTTGTTCTGAAGTTATTTTTTTGTTGTTCTTGATGTTTGGTTGGAATTGGTTTTTTTTAAGGAGTCAGTATGCCTGTTAATGCAGGTTTTGTTCTGGAAAACAGCAGCTTTTTAAATGTTCACATTAGAAATTTGCCTTACTTTAATTTTGTGCTATGAAAGTTGAATGTTGGCTGTGCATGTCTCAGGTGATGTAGCTACAGTTCAGGCCTCAACTTTCAAAGGCATAAGGGAGGATTTTAACATGCTAGAAATACCAGAACATATTAATTGTGATAAATGCTGGTCTAAATCTTTTATTAAGAGTTCCTGGGCAATATTAATTAATTTGTAAAAAAACTGGCATCAACATTTTTGTTACTGCTGTAGAATCAGTATAACTACTGCCAACTGCCCACCTAGTTGCTGAGCTCATTGTTACCTGCAGTTCAGCAGTGAGAGAATGAAGCTTTAAAGTGCTGGGCTGGGACAGTGATTTGAGAATAGGAAGAAGTGGAAACTCTACACTCCATTAAGGGAGTGCAAATAGTACTTTATTTTTTTTTCTCCCGTAAATTAAACCATGCTTCAAAAGAGAAGAGATTTTGCGTCTGTCTCTCTGGGAAACCGCATTGTGAAGAGAGGGAGCTCAGTGTGATATCCCTTCTCCGATCTGTGATCTCACCTCTGAGGGATTTTGTGTTCTGTTTCCCAGCAACCTGAGCTGGGGAGTGCTCGGTCAGCCACGTCCTGCACCACATCGCACTTCGATGGCTGAAGCGGGACCCGCAGCCCCCGCCGTGACGCTCGAACTGCGCTCCGCGGTTCGGAGGGTGACGCGCGCACCGCTGCGGGGCGCGTTGTGTCACTGTGCCAAAAGCGCCGCGTCCCGGGGGAGCGGGAGGAGAACAGGGAGGAGGGAAGGGGCTTCTCCCGGGCGCCCCCCGCACTCACACCCCTCACACCGCCCCCTCCCCGCCGGCGGCGCCTCGCGCACCTGGCGCCAGGTGAGGGCGGGGCGCGGGCGCGCGGGGCGCAGGCGCGGGCCGCTCGCGCGCACCTGGCGGGCGCGGGGCGGAAGCCGCAGAGCCCGCCCGGCTCCGGCCTCCCGGGACTCCCGGTGTTCCCGGTGCCCGCGGCCGCTCGCGCGGCAGCGCCTTCGCTTTCCCCCCGCCGGACGAGGTGAGTGGGGCACTTGCAGGAGCCCCCGCGCGGCTCCGCTCCCCCTTGGCCTCGCCGCAGGCTGTGGCCGGCGGAGGGGCAGCGCCCGGTGCCGCTTCTCCTCCGTTCGCCGCCTCCCGTGCGGGCGCGGGGCTCGGCGGGAGGGCGGGAGCCGTGACGTGAGGGAGCCCTCCCGGGGTGGGAGCGGTCCTGGGGCGGGCGCGGGGCTGGGGCTGCCCCGGGGGTCCCCTCGGGCGCCCCTCCGCGCGCGCTCCCCACGCGCAGTGCCCTCAGAGCCCCCCGAGGCCGCAGCGCCGGGGCCCTTCCCTGGAACGGCACAGCCCAGCCCTGCGAGCCTTGCCCGGGGCCGGGACAGCCCGGCTAGCCCCGCACCGGGCCAGCGGGGAGTGGGCGAGGAGCCCAGGCTGCCGCCTGGGCAAACGGGGCTCCGGGAAGCGCCGGCCGGATGCACCGAAGGTATTGACCGAGGGAGGTGTCTCTTGCCACGTACGGATCCCGCCCAAGGGTTTGCCCACAGTACCGCATTCATTCCATAGCAGCAGGGTGGTGGTTCCATTGTGTACATTGCCAGCTAGTTCTGGGATAGTTCATCCTACACGAAGTGCTTTTGAAAAGTTACCACATTGTCTCTTTTCCCCGGCGGTTTGTTAGTGTTCTACACAGCGCATGACAATACTTAGGGACTGTTTTCTGGGGTCTGGAGAACTGACAGGGGAAGCATATTTTAACATTAATAAACCTTAGTGTTGTGGATTTTTTTTTTTAACTTTGTGTAAAATATTCTCGTACAAAAAAGAATTTACGGATAAACTTTTTTGTTGGTTAAATAAAAAAATCTTACTGGAAATACGAATGTTATATACGCACCTCAGTAGTATTTTATATGTTAGTCTTCTGTAACAAAACGAACTCTTTTGTTTAAAAAACTACAAATTACATTGATCTACTCAGGATTGACTAAAGCGGGTGTTAAGCTGCTGAGCTGACAGAGTTAAAGACTGAGACAAAACAGCCAACTTTACGGGGTTTGGTTTCCTTTTTTAGCTAGGTTTGCTCAGTGGTCTGGTCAGTTTGGCATCTGCTACTGTCATCTAAAGGCTTCTCAATAACAGAGGAAAGTAAAAATTAAATTGGTTACAGAGAGCCTGAATTACTATTTTTGTTGCACTGTGGGAAGGAGCAGAAGACCAGTTTTCCTCGTAATTGCTATTGCCACTTAACTTTGGCCCTTTTTGGGGGCTGGGTAGTACCAGAGGCAGCCCGGATATCTTGACCTCTGTTAAAATAGGAACAAGATATAATTGCCCTCTCTGTGACATTCCCCCAAAGTCTGTGGCTCTAGGTGACATGCCATGTTGCTTTGAAATTGGTGTTTTTGCTTTGCATAAGTTCGCTGCCTGGTTGATCTGTTCCAAGAGCTGTAGCTAGTGCAGGCTTTCCCCTTTCTTTGGAATCAATGTTGAGAATTGCATTCATGATAAGAATTGCTGCTCAGTTGCCTGCCAGCACTGATGAGTTTCTCATCCCAATCTGCTCATTGCTGTGCTTGTCTTTACAAGATTTGAAAGTGGCTCAAGTTTCTAGACCATGAAGTGCTAGGTTTTGTCCACTCATGTAAAGCCTGAATTTATTCACTTGCTGTTACCATTGTCTGATTTTTTCCTAATGCTCACTGATATGTGCCATAGGAAATAGTTCTGCTTACAAACAGAGAAATCATATCACAGAACTACTGACTTCACAATTCCATAGTCAAATGGTTAACTCGAGGGGACTAAGGTTATTCAGCAGTGAAATGTAGCAGGAAAATAAACATTGAAGTGGGAAGAGGAGGAAAGCAAAGACACTTTTGGAAGATTCTGACAAAGGTTAGTTTAGCAGTCACTGACCCAGTAAATCTCCCGTGAGGAGACTCTCACTTATCACTTCGACAAGAGGTTATGGCCAGTCAGAAAACTGTGATTTCAAGACCTGCACTTGATACTCAGATGCTTTTGTTATCTTAGAAGCATTACTACAATCAGGAAAACAAACAAAGTTCCCTTGGTTATGATCCAGACATTATCTTCTGGTGCTTAAATGATAATCAGACACTAATCCTTCTGAGTTAAAACAGCACTTTACAGCTGCTATCGTGCTCACTTGTCATCATGGCATTTTTAGGGACAGTCTAAAATTATTTTAACAGAGGCCCAAACCAATCTAACCAAGAAAAAAGGCAAGATACAGAGTTGAGTGAAATTTAAATTTGAGATAAGTGCATGCCATTTACATATCCTAGGTCTTTACATCATGTACAGTCCCAGGTATGTAAAAATAAGACATAAATATTTTCATAATATACGGTTACTGTATATTTTTAATATGCTATTGGTTGTCACAAGGAACTGTCTAACTCTGCCTATCACATACAGTGCTTGGCTGTAGAAAAGCAGTACTAGTGCTCATTTTGAAAGAGCATGTGATAGTTTGAAGCACTTCCATTAGAATATATGGAATGTTTGGTGATGATTTGTTTGGGTTTTTTTCGCAAATTATTTTTTTGATCTCAAAAAAACTGCTGAAGGAGATAGTTGACCCATTTGTACTCCAGCAAGTTGTTTCAGTGCTGCTGTTGCTCAGAATTTCTTCAGCCTTCTGTGTGATCATCCATTTACAGCTTCTCATTTCTGTGTAATAATCAGTGAGGCAGATTGCATCCAGCATTTGCTAGAATAATTTGTGCCCTCGATGTTTCTAAAACAAAGGCTCAGGAACTGAATACATTCAGTATTCCTCTTACAACTTTTTTTCAGGAGGAGAACCACATTTCCAGTGGCTGAGCTTCAAAGAATGTACCCCGAGGAACAGCACCTGGCGTTTGTGAGTCTCTGTTTCTTTTAGGTATGTCTACCCTATCTAGGAGTGTGTTCTTAGTGAAACAGATAAGCAGTTCTCTTTTGTTGCAGTTGTGGAGATAGAAACTAGTCGGCTGATTCTGTTTCTCTTTATGTGAAGCTATATTCTTTCACTTTAATACAGCTCATTTTATTATTTGTTCCTTTATTTAAGTCAAGGGCTAATATGCTTGTAAACAGTAGCATAGTTTGTGGGACTGAAGCAACTGTTTTAATTTTCCCTGATTTCTGAAGTGCTTCTCAATGTTTTTGATTGTATGAAGAGCCTTCATATTCCATATCAAGGTAAACCTGTATGAAAAGTTCACTCTAAATTGGATGTTTCTTAATCTGTCCCAAAAGGTGCATGTGTGAATGTATGTTCCTCTAGGTTGTACTTCTAGGAAGTGGGAACAGTTTTGTTCAGTGATTTATTTATTTTTTTGCTGGTAGAAAAACCCTACAATTTCCATGGTGGTAGAAGACGAAAATATAATTGACCAAACTGATTATTTCAGTAACTAATATTTTAGTAATATCTACATTGATATTCATGCAAAAAAACCAGTCTGGAATTTTAGATTCAGAAATACCAGTGGTGAAAGTAGGACTTCTTACAGGTAAAGTATCCTGAAGTATCTTTGTCAGACTTTTGCTAATTTGGAGAGAACAGTTGATCATAAGTGTCAGGTCTTGTTTTTCCAAAAGAATTTTCTCAGTGTTTCTATTCACACACCCACCTTCTTATTAAAGGGACATTAGGGTTTGATGAAGGGTTTGTATACTTTGATAACAAAAACAGACAAGCTGGAATAGAATAATTAGATTAAGTTGAAGCAAAGTCATGTAGTTAAATAGTTTTGATTAGAATAGTTCTGAAGCATTTTTCCTATTTTTCCCTTTATAAGTCTTTTTTTTAATTGTTTTTAGTATTTTTTTATTTAGGTTTTTTTATTTTTTTTATATTCTATAAGCAGCATTGTCAGGAAACATTTGAAACTTGTTTAACATACATTCAGATAAAAAAAAAGTAGATTTTAAAATAGTTTTATTAAAAAACTGCAGTCAAGTGTATTGTTGATAGTAACCTCAATAAATTTTGCCTCACTGGCATGGTCTGAAAGAATTTCTGCTGATTTGGTTTATATTGACACTTTCATTTTTTTATACAAAAAAATGATTGTCTATAGTGTTGTTCAGACCAAACTAACAAAAAATCAGAGTTGTCTGCGTGTTGGCTACAGTAGGGAGGCTTTCTTCTAAGTAAGAGATTTTGCAGACAGTCTGACATCAGAGTTAGTGGGTGGCATAATGTAACATAGACTGCATTGAATTCACACACTACCCATGTGATGTGGTTTGAAGTAGTGTGGCAGCTGCTTTTTGGCACTTTTAGAAGACTTTTGTAGTACGTATTAGTTTTCTGGTTATTTTCTTCTTAAAAAAAAAAAACTTCTAATGTTTAGGGCTAGTTATTTCAAAGTGCTGTAAGAATCCAGACTGCTATTAGTGAAAATAACACTAATGAATAGAAGATTAAACACTTCGCTAAACAGTCACCCCAGGGAGTTTAATCATGCCACATAGTTCTTCAGCATGTCCTGGAGGATTGAACAGTAGCTTGGTCTGTGTTTACTGACATTGCTGTGCCATGAAAATGTGAGAGGCATTTGTGCAGAATAAAGATTGTATTTCTGGCTACAAAATTATCCGGGTGAAAATCCTAAGTAAGATACAGCTTTCATGGCAAAAATTCTTCAGACAATGTAGCTTTTGTTCTGGAAAATGCTACTATTTTGTGCAGCAGAGAGCTCTTCTCTAATTGTAAGCAATACCCCTGTCAGATATTTTATTAACAAAACTGCACTCAGCATGTGTCTATATCAAAAGGTTTTGCTGTATGTTTGTGGCAAATGACCCTCTGTCCACTTCAACTCTGCTGCACATGCTGTCCCAAAGCTGTCACTCAATCCTTCCTCTAAAAAAGAAACATCACTTGCACTTGTTCCTGTGCACGTCCTGCGTGCCATGTGTGCTACTGCAGTCTGCTCATCCACGTTGAAAGGGCTTGTTGCTGTCTGCCACAACACACCTAACAGAGGTGAGTTGTCTTTTCATTTCTAGGGACAGACACATTTCCCCTGTGTGTTGTGGCAGCTTGCTGTAGTTAGACCTGAGCAACCAAGACAGATGTATCCAATAAAAGGAAATACGTTGTCAGAGAAGTCCAAGTGTATTCAAATAACAGTGAATATAGTAACACAGGAGGACAAATGCTGAATAACTTGCTCTTGGTTGGTCATTATGGAGAGCAATTTAATGACTTTTGTCTGAAGACAGATGTATACAAAGAAGGCAGTGCAAAAAATATTCTGAATGAATTTTAGATTTTGGTTATTTGGATTTATGGATATCTTAACTTGTGTTAATCATGAGAATTCTGAGGATTTGTATGTGCTTAATTTGTGCAGGAAATAGTCCCAAATGAAAACAACAAGATGTTTAGTTTATGGTTTTGGTAAAATGTACAAATGTACTTTTTACGTTTTTTGAAGATTAGGTTAGTATTTCAGCATCAGAACAGCATCAAAACTCTGAAGTATGTCCTAAAAATTTATGAAAGAAATATTTGCTATTTTCGAGTCCATTTTTCTTTTTTGTTGCTGGAGGCAATGAAGTAAATGTAAAACTAGAAAAAAATAATGTCTTAGTGAGCATAAGATAAGTAAGTCTTGTGGTGTTAATTGAAATACTGAAGATGTTTGGAAATCTGACAGTTGTAACTTTAACTCTCTAAAGTAGTTGTTCTTTGGTACTGAGACAGGTAACAGCCACACTATATTCTACCCTTTTGAGTAGTCTCAGACCAGCTCATTAAAACAAAATGAGACAGACGTAAATATTTAACTCAAATATTGATTAAGTTCTCCAGTTTAAGCATAATTTCAGTGTAAAACATGTTGCTGTATAGAATTAACTTTAACTTCACTTCTCTTGACATCTTACACCATCATGTTCATTAAAGCTTAACCTTTTTCTTGTCATGAACAAATTTAAGTTTCTTTACCAAGAGGAAGAGGTCTAGAGGAAGTTGGAGAACATAATTTCATGTTTAATGAGATAAAAGAAGTTTGAGGACAACAATGTTTGGAAACCGACCAACCAGCTGACAAATGCTAATGCTCTCCCTCCCCATGTGTTTGCCTGATTAACTATGCCTAATGACTGCTTATGAGATAAAGAAGTTATATATTTTTATATATATAGATAGATTTTTTTTTCCATTTGAGGAAGATATATTTATATTGCTTATTGATTTCTAAGCTTTAAGATTTACTAGTACCATATGTGCTTGTGCATGGTGCACTGAGAAACAGTAATGTGATTTTGTTTTTGATGGTGTTACAAAAGCATTCCTGATGAGTAACCTGCAGAGGCTGTAGCCCGTGCAATGACAGTCTTCTTGCTGGGTGCTAATCTGTACACATGCTCAGTGTTTTACATTGTGTATAGCATTTTCATGGCAAGTTGGGGGCGGGGGTGTGAGGATGACTGCACAGGTGGCCTCTGTGATAAGAGACAGGGGTTACTCACCCCCCATTCTGGGCTGGACACAGCTGGTTCCAGACAGCTGTAAAATAGACCCACTGTTGGCCAAAGTTGAGCCACCCATGTAGCAGGTGGAGCCTCTGTGATGAGGTATTTCAGAAAGGGTAAAAAATGCTACACAGCAGCTGTGAGAAAGAGGAGTGAGAAAAATGTGAGACCCTGCAGAAACCGAGGTCAGTAAAGAAAGAGGGGACAATGTGTTCCAGGCACTGGAGCAGTTATTTCCCCTGCAGCTCTTGGAGAAGACTGTGGTGAAGAAGTATTTCTCTGCAACCCAGAGCAGGTATCTGCACTGCAGCCTGTGCAGGACCCCACGCCAGAGCAGGTGGATATGCCGTGAAAAAAGCTGCAGCCTGTGGAGAGGCCATCCCAGGAGCAAGATCCTGACAGGAACTGCGACCCGTGGATGGCCTATGCTGGAGCGGTTTATGCTGAAGTACTGTACTGCACGGAGAGAACCCATGTTGGAGCAGGGGAAAAGTGTGAAGGGGAAGGAGTGGTAGAAATGATGTCTGACAAGCTGACCACAGCCCTTATTCTTCATCTCCTCTGCACCACTTGGGAGAAAGGAGATAGAAGAATTGGCAACGAAGGAGTGAAGCTGAGCCCAGGGGAGGTAGTTTTGAGTCTTTTTTTTTTCACCATCCTACTCTATTTTTAATTGCCAGTAAATTAAAATCCATCATTACAGGTCTTTTTTCCCTGTGACAGTAACTGGGAAGTAATCATACTGCCTTTAGCTCAACCCCTGTGATTTGCCATGGTGGGTAGAAAATTCATGCAGCCAAAGCTCAGCTGGAGTTGAAGCTGCCAGGAAGGTGGGGGACAATAAAAAGAGTTTTTCAAAGGCTTGTCAAGGGAGGGGATTGTCCTGCTCTGCTCTGCAATGGGGCAGCCTCACCTTGAATAGTGTGTGCAGTTTTGGGTGCCACAATATAAAAAATATAATATTAAGCTTTTAGAGAGCGTCCAAAGAAGGGCAATGAAGATGGTGAAGGGCCTTGAGGAGAAGCCGTATGAGGAGCGGCTGAGGTCACTTGGTCTGTTCAGCCTGGAGGAGACTGAGGGGAGACCTCATTGCAGTTACAACTTCCTTGTGAGAGAAAGAGGAGGGACAGGCAGTGATCTCTGCTCTGTGGTGACCAGTGACAGGACCTGAAGGAATGGCCTGAAGTTGTGTCAAGGGAGGTTTAGGTTGCATATTACACAGAGGTTCTTCCCCCAGAGGGTGGTTGGGTACTGGAAGAGGCTCCCCAGGGAAGTGGTCACAGTACCAAGCCTGACAGAGTTTGAGAAGTGTTTAGATGACACTCTTGGGCACGTGATGTGACTCTTGGGGATGGTCCTGTGCTGGGCTAAGGGTTGGACTCTGTGATCCTTGTGGGTCCCTTCTTTAACTTCTCACTGTCATGTTGAGGATGGGAAGTGGAGAGAGTGGCTAGGTGGGTGTCTGGCAGCCAGTCAAGATAAACCCCCCAGATTTCGTGAGAAAACAAGACATTTTTCAATCTGGCAGTTTGGTAAATTGGTTGCAATCCTTTCATCGGGAATGAAAGTTTAATTCTTAGTCTTACAGTATATAGGTACTGGTATTGTAGTACAAATTTTTCAGCACTAAAGAAAAATGGGAAAATAATATGTGAGACAGAAGTGGACTGATTTTGTGGTTTTATTTTTGTTTTCTTTTAAATTCTGTGAGTTTTGAAGCACATTTTTGGTACCTTTTAGTATCTCTGTGGCAATGATGTAATAAGCTCCCCTCTGCATTCTCTTAACAATAACTCTATGGTAAAAGTACTGTAGTTTGAATGTATAGGTTTATTAAGCTGACACAAGCTTTGAAACACAGTATAATGTGAAGAAATGCAGATGTTTAATTTCTCCTACAAATTCTTGAAGGAAACTATGTAAGGTTGGGGTTTTTTTGTTTTCTCTGACTTGTATCTCTTCCTGAGTATATATTATTATTATATATTAAGAAATGCAGAATCTACTTGTATTTCAAAGAAATAAATAGAAAAGCAGGGGTTTTTGCAGTTTTATGATCCGTAGTTATCACGTGGGAACTAACTGTGACTTTTACCTAGATGCTGTTTATTTCTTTTCTCGGTTCACATACATGCAATTTAGACAAAAATGAAGGTGTTTCTTGGCTGGTTTTTATATTTTCCCCTCTTATAAACTGCCAGTTTTGCAGAGAGAATTTAATTCAAATCAGTTAGATTTTGGTAGTCCTCAAATGTTTTTCATAGTTTCATCTTTGAAAGCCACTGAATATGAAAAAAACTGTGGCAGAGTTCCTGAAAGACAGGAGCTCTTTGGCGTGTTCTCATGATGAGCTGCAGCAGCACATGCCAGAAAATGCAGCACAGGTGAATGAAAAAATATACAGAATGATTACTTGATCCCCAGGCTAAATTAACCTACTCCAGTTTACCTGTATAAAGTCTGCATTGAACATGTATACTAGATAACTAAATTAATCTAAGAATTTCCCGCTTGAAGTCTGATTACTTATTTTGAAATAGATTTTTTAAAAAAATATTGGAAACTGTCAAATTGTTGAAATATGTTGATTGAGAAGTCTTTCCTGTCTTAGTATTTCACTTTTCAGACTCTCTCTGAGATGCAACTCGAACCTATGTATTGATTCCATCTGTTTTCCTTCTATCCCATCATTGAACTAAAATTCTCTACTTCTAGAAGACTTTAAACAACACTTTCTTCTAATTTTAAACAGCCTAATTGTAACAAAATGAATGTGAAGTAGTGGCACTGTGTAGAAATAGTGTTTTATTCTTAGTGGTATGCCTAATTTCTGGTTCTTCTATTTGAAGTGTATTTAAAAAATAAAACCCAAAACAAAAAACAGGGAGAGGTCATTTTGGGTATCTTATAGGTAGCTTTGATGTACATTTGAGTGATGTAGCAAACATAACATTTGACATTTGGGAGCTGTGAAGTAAATCCTCCCCATTAATTTCTTGTGGCTTTACATTGTTGAATATACTAGATGCCTAAATGAATACTTTTTGTTTTAATTTATAGGTATTATAATTTCAAGAAATGCTGTGACCTGTTTGAAGAACAACACTCACAGAAAGTTGTCGTGTGAAATTTTTTAAACTAGAATGGCCTTGAAAAAAACACACAAACTATTCAAGACACTTTTTCACTGGAAACTTTGGAAGTTTAGCATTATTGTGTTTGTCTTTTTGGTATTTTTATTTTTATTGCAAAGAGAAGTGGGTGTTCAAGATTTTAAAGATGAAGCAGGAATTGAGCCAGTTGTTGGAAAGAAAAGTCATGTATTAGGTCTTGTGTTAAATGCTATGAACAATATCAAAGGTGCAAAGCCAAAAATGCAGATAAAAGCACCGGTTAGGCAAACTAAGATTCCTGGAGAAAGACACTGTTTGCCAGGGCACTATACTGCGGTGGAACTAAAACCCTTTCTAGATCGACCCCTTCAAGATCCTAATGCTCCTGGAGCTTCTGGTAAAGCATTTAAAACCACCAACTTAAATTCAGAAGAACAGAAAGAAAAACAGCTTGGAGAAGAGAAACACTGTTTTAATGCATTTGCAAGTGATAGGATTTCTTTACACCGAGACCTTGGACCAGACACTCGACCTCCTGAGTATGTTGAAATATGTATGTCCTGATAGTTGAAAAACTTCTCAGAAATTCAGACTGCAAAGTGATTTGAGTTCAGCATTAGGTGATAGTTTAGGAAAGTCTCCTAGCTATACATAATGATTGGCTGTACATAACAGTCTGCAGTGCCAAAGCCAAGAATGTTTAGAAAAGCTCACTTCTTTCATGGTTTTGAATTCAAAGTAACCATATTTAAATAAGGTTTTCTGCTTCTGCCTTTAAGCTAAAATTTCTGAGTAACTTTCAGGAAGCCTGCTAAGTTTTGCCTAGAAGAAAAATGAAAATGAGGTTTAAACTTTTTTCCAATTTAAACACCACCCCCTGTTTTTTTAGTATTCAATGTTAATAAAACCATCAGCATAATTTAATAAATTAGGAAATTATAAACTGTTGAACAAGGTAATGGAATATCTCAGCAGGAGTCTTGTAGTTTTGAAAAATTTTATTAATGTAGACTCAGGACTTGGATAGAGTGGATTTTGGTTATGAGCAGTCTCTCAGTGTCAGATTACATGTTGTCAGCCATCTGTGCCAGGAGTGACTGAACTTATTGAGCTGCTGCTGGTACCTGTGGTGCAGCTCCCCATAACCTTTGCTGGAGCATGACTGGTGAGCATAACTGTGTATTTTGTGAGGCAATGGCTGTGGTTATTACCTTGGAGTAATAACCTCCAGTCTCTAAAGTTGACAGGTGGCAAACAGTAAGTGTATATTTAATGTCCATAGTTATAAAGCTTTATACTAGAAAGAGAAGGGTTTCTTTTAAGAGTTTGAGTCAAAAAACTGTTGTCTGTTTTGTAACACCTGACACTTTCTTATCTGTAGATGTATTGAACAAAAGTTCAAGCGTTGCCCGCCATTGCCAACCACGAGTATTGTCATAGTTTTTCATAATGAAGCGTGGTCTACTCTGCTCAGAACTGTCCACAGTGTGATGTACACATCTCCTGCCATTCTGCTAAAGGAGGTTATTTTGGTGGACGATGCCAGTGTAGATGGTAAGAAGTCTCTNTTTTTTTTTTTTTTAACTGAAGACATGTTAGGGTAGCAGATAAATTGATTAAGAGGATATCTCTTTGCACCATTGATGTGTATAATGGTATTCTAAGTGGTTTTGCTCCTTTCTTTTTCTTTTAAATACGAAGTAGTCTTCCCTCCTCTTTTTTTCCCATAAGGTAGTCAGATATGAAATTCTTGTTCTCTAAAAGGTTTTTAAACCCTATTTCTAGTTTTTCCAATTCTAGTGCTGCTTTAACTGCATAACTGGTTGCATGACAAGTAGCTTTGTAATTTGTGCTTCAAAACAATTGCAATTTATAGAACAAAGTATCCAAGTACAAATTGGCCAATACTTGTGGTAATTTGCATTTTATCATAGGGATTGTCTTTATGCAAATGAATTTCATTAATACGAAGGGAAGTGTATTTACTGGAAAGTAAAGTTATTTATTGGAAAAATAATCTTCAACACTCCAGCTGACTCTTAAAGATAATTAACTGTATACTGAGTGTGAACACAAATGCAAGTTCAAAAAACTTTATGTGCTTAACTTTAGAGGAATGTGTCTATACATATATGCTTCTATTAATGTATTTACGCTTTTTTGCAAGTCTGTAATTAGTATACTGCACACTTGGATGTGAAGTATGTTCAGTAGTACAGTTTAATGCTAAGGACAAAGGGCAAAGTATGGTGTGGGATGTTCAGTGAGGGATGTGGGGTTGTTTCTCAAACCTTGAACATTTAAATAGTTTTCTATATGGTTTCTGTTGCTGTTGTAAACAGAGCCTTTGAAAACTGTGTAAATGTGCCATCCTTAAGGAAAGAATTTGCATGTTCCACAGATAATGTAGGTGATCCATTTGCTCTGAAAATGGAGGTTGAATTGGTATTCAAACTGTTCATGCTGCAGCAGAGATGTACAAGCATGTCCTTTCTTGTTTAGAATATTTTTAGTATTTCATCTCCTGCTCTCTGCCAGTCACTTCTTACTATACCCTAACCCCAACAAGACTCAACCCCTACAAATAACCTTCAGCACTTAGGAATTTTTACTTTTTTGATGTTGAGGTAGTTTCTGGGGTTAGTGAGTTGTTTACCTTGTTAGTTTAATAATGTGAAATTTTGGGCATGTACATATACTGAATATCTCAAAATTGATCCCTTGTTCTAGAATACCTGCACGATAAACTAGATGAGTATGTGAAACAGTTCCAGATAGTTAAAGTAGTCCGTCAGAAGGAAAGAAAAGGTCTGATCACGGCACGGTTGTTGGGAGCTTCCGTAGCAACAGGAGAGACCCTTACCTTTCTGGATGCTCATTGTAAGTGTAATCTGTAACTATGCCAGGTCTGCTTTATAATGCTGTTCTCTTTGATTTAATGTTGCAGATATTTTATGATTTATAAGCATTTGCAATATATCATCTTCCCTATTGCTGTTTCATATTATTTAAAACTATAATTAGCAATGCTGTTTAAAAGCAGTCTATATTGGCTTGCTGGACATGTTGAAAAATTCTCTGTGTACTACTTTATAGCCAGGTAAAGATTCAGTGTTTGCTCCCATTGTCTCCACAGGTGAATGCTTTTATGGCTGGTTGGAGCCATTATTGGCAAGAATAGCTGAGAACCCTGTCGCTGTTGTAAGCCCTGACATTGCTTCTATAGATCTCAATACTTTTGAATTCAGTAAACCATCTCCTTATGGGCATAGCCATAACAGAGGAAATTTTGATTGGAGTTTGTCATTTGGATGGGAGTCTCTTCCTAAACATGAAAACAAAAGAAGAAAAGATGAAACCTATCCCATTAGGTAAACATAATTTGAATACTATTTAAATCCTTCTGTTTTCATGGGGGTTTTGTTATGAACAGCAGTTTGTAAATAAACTTTCTTCACATGAATATAATCGGACATCTTAGTATCTTAGATGTTTTTTGTAGTATTTTCTTTAAGAACCACATTTTAAAGCTTTCATAAAAATATGGCCTCCTTAAGACAGTAATTGCTCTGCATTACTTTTTTTTCTATATACACTAGGGATATAACAAGCAATTTCTGTTGCTTATTATATTGTAGCAGGAGGGAGCAGAGGAGGATTGTACACAGTTTTTTCTCAGAGACAGTACCACAGATTTAGGCTTCTCTTTCATCATACTTGAAAGAATGACAAAATGGATCAGAGCACCCAAATACTAGGCTGATACAGTAGTGCATTTGATGGTAATTGTACCTGTTTGGCCACAGATTACTGGTTATTGGTCTCTATGAGTAATAATTTTACTTGATATCCTCCATACGGGGAAAATATGTTGGTTTTCCTGATGCTGTCTTTTATACCAGCAGTCATTAGTCTAAATGAGTTGTTAATAAATGACAATAAAACTGTCAAATGAGACTCCATGTGGGCAGATTTAATTGCTAGAAGTATTATCTATGCCAGGAAAATGCACCACTGCGATGAAACACTGACAAATGCACAGAAAATTCCTAGAACAGTTATACCATGATTTTACATCTATATTTAAAAAACCCTGTCTTCCTTTAATTTTGTTTTTGCAGAACACCTACTTTTGCTGGAGGTCTCTTTTCAATATCAAAAGACTACTTTGAACACATTGGAAGCTACGATGAAGAAATGGAAATATGGGGAGGTGAAAATATAGAAATGTCTTTCAGAGTAAGTTTAGCTCCCTAATTAGCCATTGTCTCTATGCTGACAGTGTACAGGGGTTTTGAGGACAAATTAGTACTAGATCTTGACTCCTCTGCTGAATCAGCCAACTAGGAAAAGTGAATTACTAATTACCTTTGAACTAAAATACAAACATGCTCACTGAACTGATTTTAATTTTTGTTAATGTGTTTAGGGTTGATAACTGAAATGTATGTTTTCAAGGTTTACCTGATTAGGAAATTCACTTATGGAATGCTTGATACATGTACTCTTACTAGTGGTTTGATGTTTTCTGGTGAACAATAATATTGCTGAATTTTTTTCCACCCCCTTAATTCTAATTGCAGTGTACTTACACACTAAATGTTATTATTAGGTATGGCAATGTGGTGGACAGTTGGAGATCATTCCTTGCTCTGTTGTTGGCCATGTCTTTCGCAGCAAGAGTCCCCACACTTTCCCAAAAGGTACTCAAGTGATCACACGTAATCAAGTTCGCCTTGCAGAAGTGTGGATGGATGAATATAAAGAAATATTTTACCGAAGAAACACAGAGGCAGCAAAAATTGTGAAACAAGTAGGTGGTGGTGGTGGTATTAGAAATCACACTTGCTGCGTTGAAAGTTTTGGTGAGCAAAAGTTATTTATTGACAAAGTATGTAAGGATCCTAGATATTTTAATGAAAAGTCAGAGTTCAGTTTGCCTAATGCTGTAGCCCCAACAAACATGAAAAACTTAAGTGTTTGGGTGGTGATAGTGTTGGTTTTTTATGGCGAGTTTTTTTTATTGGTGGGTTGTTTTATATGTTCTCTAAAGTCCTGGGTTGTTTGCACTGAGCAGATATGGGAACTACCAGAAGAGCATGAGATAAACTACTGAGCATAGACAATGTAAACTAACTTATTTTTTGGAGTGAGGAACATAATGTCTTACTAGTCTCAAGTTGCTTAGTATTTTTACTTAAAAAGCAGGTTTTGTTGCTCTTTAGCTGCAGAATAAATCTTATTCGATGATGGATAACCATCCTATCTCTGTCTGCTTATAAACTTCAGCTAATTTGAAGGGAGGTTGAGTTTTGGCTTATTTACTTTGTAAGTTTTCTGTCCAGCGAGAATCTAAAGTTCTCTTCGAGAAGCTATTTTTCTTCCTTCGGTGATAGATTTTCATGACTATGTACAGCATTAACAAGAAAAAAATCAACAAATGAAGCTTAAAGCTTGCTTAATACTAGAACACAGAATATCATAGCTTTACATGTAAAAAATTGATATTAGTAATTTTAATATATTTATCTTCCATCCTTCCTTACTTCCCCAACTCTAACAGAAAACATTTGGAGACATCTCAAAAAGACTTGATTTGAGGCACCGTCTGCAGTGTAAAAATTTTACCTGGTATCTCACTAATGTTTATCCAGAAGCATATGTGCCAGACCTGAACCCCTTGTTTTCTGGATATGTAAGTTTAATTTTAATTATTTTCTATAGTCTTCGTAGTCCAGGAAGTTTGCTAATCTTTTGTGCTATCTTAGCCATAGCTTTTAGACTTTAGCTATCATTAGCTTCTCTAGGGTTTTCTGTCACTACTCTGGATAAAGAATCTCTTCTGCATACCTTGCTATTTGAATATTTTATACTTTGTCAATAGCTATGTAATTTTCATTTTTTATTCATGTCAATAGTCATTTTCCCTGCCAAATAACTTTAGACATTGCACTGCTGAAACTGAAAAGAAGTATTAAAGAAGTAATAATTCTTAGCTTGAACATGAATGTTTAGCATGTATTTACAAATAAAACTTCCCCTTCCTCCAGTTTTGAATATTTTATGTGTATCTGTTCAAACTGTAATTTGAATAACAGTGACATTGTACACATTGTACACCAGCAGGCTAATAATTCCATATGTGGCTAGGTAGTTGGTAGGCTTTTGGTTAGAAAAGATTAACTGAGAGAACAGGATTTTAGTTTCAAGCATAGCAGAAAGTAAAAATGAACTAACAGCTGTAATTGTTGAACTAAAGATTATCTTTGTATATGAGACAGTTTAATTTTTTATCATCCCCACTGAGCTTTTTTTATCCTGATAACACCCTTTCTTTAGTTAAAAAATATAGGTAACCGCATGTGTCTGGATGTTGGTGAAAATAACCATGGTGGCAAACCACTGATTATGTATTCTTGTCATGGACTTGGAGGAAATCAGGTAAAATATTTGATACATAATTTTTATGATCTACTCTGTAGCTTTACCATATAAAAGCTTTTAATTTATTTTAGTGAAATGGACTAATTTTTAATATTAAATATCTCTCCTCCGTCTCTCTTTTTTCCTTTTTTTTTTTTAATGGTTAATTCCTACATATATTGTTAAAGGAAAATTCCATACCACTCTTAATGTTGTGTCCCGCTTCTGATGTTTTAAGTTCAGCATACAAATTCAGATTTCAAACACAGTTGCCCTGCTTCACTTGACCTGTCTTTTCTGTGCAAAACGTTTTCATCCTACCCTTATTCCTGTCTTGTAAGTGTTGTCTTCTTAATTCTTCCTTTCCTTATGCTTCCTCCTGTTGCTTCTTTCTCTGTCACCAGGACTCGCAGTGTCAAGGAAGATGTTGGTTGGAATCCAGCCAATGGGAGACCAAGTGTCCAGGCCTGAGCCACCTTCCCTATCATGCTTGCAGCCTCATAGTGTGAGGTCACAGTGGCCTATCCTGTACTGGCTAATGCAAGTGAATAATATGATCCCATTTGTTCAAGAGGAGCTCTCTTTGGTGCGCAGCTCTTGGAGGCAGCAGTGGTTCTGTTCCTTCTACAATATAACTTGCAATAGATGTCAGATACTGAATCCTTCAGTCACTGCTGCAATACCAATAAAAGGAACATCTTCCCTGCCCAGAAGTGCACACTTCTCTGTTGCTTCTAAGAGTCAATAGAATTTAACAACTGTAGATCCTTAATAACTGAACATCAGCAAAGGTTTTAAAATCTTTGTTAGAGTATAGTTGTTATTTTGCGGGGGGTTAAGTTTTTTTCAACCTTAAAAGCCATCCATTTATGGCACTATGAAAATTCAGACAAATAATCCTAGTTAGTTGATACTTTCCTAATCCATTTTTGTGGGAGATGGAATGCTGTCTAGATTAAGAACTGCCCTGTTATGTTAGCTTCTTACAGTATTGAACTTGTTTTTTTATTCTGTTGTGGATTAATACTATAAGAGCCTTTTCACACTGTCACAGTTAGTAATTCAGGAACACTGTACCAAGACATTGTATTAAAAGATCTGCTGTATGCTTCTGTTGTTCTCTCTCTAAGTTATCTTGGACTGTACTTAAACTCTATACTTTCAAGTGTTATGTTTTTTGTTTTTCCTTCTGCCATAAAATAACAGTCTGAAGCCCTTTAAATGTCAGCCTTCAGAGAACCTTAATATTGGTTTTGCTGGTAATGCTCAAGGGATGCATATTTGCTTACATAACCACTCTCATTACAATGCTCTGTTTTCAGTTGTTTTCTATCGTTTACCAGACTTTTATCGGTGTAGGCTGATATTTTCCATGCTACCTGTCATCTTTGTCCATATATTTGAGATGGCAGAAGGGAGTGGAAGAGAGAAGCTAATTGTCAGAGTTGTACATTAGTTGTATATTATTCTTCCTTTTTAGAATATTCTGGGACTGGGAACATGCCCATCTCAATATCCAAAATTAATGAAGTTTTAAACCTAGGAACATGCCCATCTCAATATCCAAAATTAATGAAGTTTTAAACCTAGGAACATGCCCATCTCAATATCCAAAATTAATGAAGTTTTAAACCTAGCTTTCAAGTAATATTTTCAGTGCATGAAGAGACTTTGAAGTTCAAAAGATAAATCAGGACAGATTAAGTCAGATTACCAGATTAAGAGTAAATTATTATGTCTGAGAGCTGAGTGACTAAGCAGGTCACTCCTATCAGCACCTATTTCAAGGATTAATGTTGGTCACAGAGTCTTAAGAGGGAGATGCCTGTTTGTTCCTCAGTGCTGTTCCCATTGATTCCCGTGAGGAGGTGATTGCTGACCAATTGGACAGATGGTTGAAAGCCACAAGGGAGTAACTGAGCCTGGTCTTAATAGTCAAAGGAAAGATACAGTGAAGGCGGCTGACATATGGAGCCAAGAAACTGTGTGGTAGTGGGATGTAATGATAGGAACTCTGCTGTTTAGTGAGGGAGAAAAGGAAGAGACCAGGATGTTAGGGTAGGGCTTAGAGGGATAAAAGGACAGCAGTGTCTCTTAACTGTTAGAAGTAAATCCCTGTTAAGACCAGAATTATAGCCTAGAATTCCTGAGCCTTAACAGTATTGTGCTGTCAGCGAATCATGGTAAAATTAACTCACAAAATACATGCTTATATTACTTTTCTAATGGCTAGCTCACAAGAGAACATAACAGCATCCTATTGTTGACATTTATTGTTTGGATCAAGCAGAAAAAGTTGGCATACAGCAATAAGTATTGTTCCATGTGACTTTTTGTTTTTCTTTAAGAAAAAACAAAATCCAGCAACAGAATTGAATACAGATTTTGAAAGTTAAGAAATACCAAAATTTATCTGTGCAACTATCTCTAGTCTTTGGTTTGCCTCCTTGAATTATATATAATCTGTGTGGGAGCACACAATGAGATATTGCATCATAATACATATGCAGATAGTGCCATTTGCAATTTATGCATGTAAATATAAATAAGCATTGCATTAGTATTAAAAAATGCTTTCAGTTTTGTAAACACTTTTAAAGTGTGTACGCTAAAAACCAGAAATTATTCTGTGGTCTCAAATTCTTGAATAAGAAAGGACATTTATTACTTTGTATATGGGAATTTCAAAGACTTTAATACTTTTGTTTGTTTTTATTTACTGAATTTTTTAAAAATTATTTAAATAGTACTTTGAATATTCTGCACACCATGAAATTCGACATAACATTCAGAAGGAGCTTTGTCTACGTGCTTCTAAGGGACCTGTGCAGCTTCGAGAGTGCAGCTACAAAGGCCAGAAAACCTTCGCTGTTGGAGAGGAGCAATGGCTGCACCAAAAGGTATGGGCTGTGAATTGGCATTTCTATCAGTGATCTTTTATGTTACCTAATTTTAGATTTCCAGTAAAAGTGAAAATGCCAACAAAACTAAACTCAGAAGCCAAAAAAGAGCAAGTTTAGTTTGGGCAGGAAAATTTAGGTAATTTCAGCTTTTCAGTTACCAGATCAAAACTCGATTTCACTTGTAGGAGTGTCACTTAAAAATCCAGTTTATATCCTTTAGTGTGTATGTCTGGGCATCCACCTGGAAGCCAATTCAGATGCTTTGTATCTTTTAAAATATTTCTTAAAATTTTCCTAACAAAACAAGTTGGCACTTGTATACTACTTTTATTTATTTGCTAAATATCTGTATGCCCTATCCGTATGACCTTTCCCTGGGGGAAAAACAGTGGGGGAAATAGCATGTTCATTGTTTGCTCACTTTTTTTTTCCCTCCTTTTTTCCTCACTTTAGGATCAAACTCTGTACAATGCAGCACTACATATGTGCCTTACAGGAAACGGAGAGCATCCAAGTTTGGCATCCTGTAATCCATCAGACCCCTTCCAGAAGTGGATCTTTGGCCAGAACAATTAAGATTTCATATTTATAGGCCAGAAGCATTTTATTACAAGAGAAGATCCATTCTGAACTGCGATTATTATATACTCATACTGCATTTTAAGTGATACTTTCAATGAAAAATGTTTCTTTTCCCTCCTAAGTTGGATATAAAATGTGTCATCGGAGATTCCCTAGGACTCTGCTATACCAAAGATAATTGAGATCCTGATTATATTTTGTTTACAATATTTCTGTGATGAGACTTTATATGTTGACCACTGATTTATGGATCCTATTAGTCCTCTTTCACCTTGGGGGGCCATATGTGTATTGTTTTTTCACATATTGTAAGTACTTCTGAAGAAGACTAATTTTCTTTGTAGGGTTGTGAGAAATTATTGTCTGCTGTCTAAAACCCAATACACTATATTTTTATGCTCAATTGGTGGACATTTTTTTTAATAATTTACTTTATTCAGTGACACTTTCTCAATATTTTTTAAGCTTCTTCACTTGAAAAATTAAATATTTGACTGTCAGGTAAAAGCTAAATAGGCTACCATACTATGCTCAGCTTCTAGCAAGTCAGTCCTCTTGTAGAAGAAAAAAGTAATTCTCACTGAAATATGTATTTATGATTATTCTAATAGAAAATCTGCTTATCCCGATACTAATCTTTTGTTTAGCTAAAACTTCTTCTATATAGGGTTTTTTATATTTCATGGACTTTAAAATTTATGACAGTTATACTGTAATAGATTCCCAGCCTCTCAACATTTACACATTTTTTCAGCATTTTTCTCATTATTACTTTTAAATTACTTGTTATCTACTAAACTCACTTTTCTCCCCTACCTTTTAGTGATTTATGCCATGTTTACTTCACATGAAACCTCTAATATGATCTGTACGTGATCTCTTGTGTGAACACTTGCATGTTTGTTTTTTCTTGTTTCTGTTTCCCCTTTTACAAATGACTGACCTCAGTTTTATCAGTCCAAGTGAGACCTTGGCCTTTCTAAATATTCTGCTAACTATAGAAAATGATACAGCATACTCAAATATGTAATCTATTTTTAAAGAAATTTAAAGTGAAGACAAAAATATTTAGCTGCATGATCAAATATAAAGCTGAGAATAAATTTGAAGGGGTGGGTATTAAAGATTGAACAGAACAAAATACATTAATAATAACTTTGTTCTTTTTTCCTAAATAATATCATTACAGATAAATGCTGATTTAGGTATTGGGTCTGGTGGGTGGATGAATGATGGTATGTGGGGTTTTTTTACTTCTAATGGGGGGAGGGAGTCTGTGGATAATTTAATGGCATCTGCAGAATGAGTTCAGTTTCTGAATAAAAGCAAGAAGAAATCCTTTTGGTCATTCTAAGTCATCTAAAAGGACAAAAAAGTGAATAAGCAAGAACCAGTGATAATTTGTTGGAAGCATTATCTTAAACTAATTTATTTTTCTGGCTTGATAATGCCTTTACGTTGTGTCTTGGCTTCTGTAGGGCTTTTGGTGACACTTGTGAGAACATCCTGTGAAGTTAAAGCTGTACAACTTAAAATAACTGTGAACAGATATTGATAAAAAGCCTGTACTGGGAAGGGTTATTAATACCACTGTGAAACTGGAAGGTTGTGTAGAAAAGCACTGCCTGTGTCCTCTGATAAATGTTTTAATTTGGTAATGGAATACAAAGTATTACTTTTGCAGATCAAACCAATATTAGAAGGGCAACAAATGCTCTTGACAAACTGGAGGAGCTGAGGAAAAATAGAATGCAGGTCAATAAGAAAATTGTTGAACAATATGAATAGAGGATGGGAGATTACACAGAGAGCAGCTGTGTTGTGTTGAACCCCAGTTATGAAATGGGAACTCAGTGTTCAAGGAACGTGTTCTAGAAGACAAGGTATTTAGCACAGTGGTTTAAAAGGACTTGTTCTTTTAGTTCTTAGTTCTCATGTTATACAAAAAAATGCATATTATTTTTAATATCACCAAAGGATAATTTTTTCATGCAATCTGTATCTCTTAGAAACTTGTCAGACTGGAATATGCATATGTTAATATCTTTTATCCACTCATTACCAGTTGGGTTTTTGTGGTTTTAAGAGGTAATGTTCCAAATGAGGGTAGAATTTGAATTTTAAGGAGACAAGTGTTCTCTTGCACTCGGAGGGAGGAACCTCTTCATGAGCAATGCTAGAGAAGCTCCACTTTGTATTTTTTGTTTTTCTAACTGGTAATATAAGCTCATATCACAGCAGATAGAGCAATATATGCAGTTGTTACTCTGTTTTCTGCAAAGATTAGGTATAGCATTTCACCTAGTTATTATATTTTGTCTTTAGTTCTAAGTGTGAAAGGGGAAAATTAATTCTGTGATTTAAAAATTATCTTTTAAGATTTTCCTTTCATTTTTTGAGATTTCTGGTATCCTTTAAACTATGAGTGATAGTTTAGTCTATATTTTTGCAGTACTTAGTACAGCAGCAGTTCAGCCTTACTTGGATTCCCTACTACCTGCCAGAAAAGAGGGAAGCAGATCTAAAACTTTAAATGAGGTTTTTGTTCTATTCTGTTTGAAGATCTGAAATTAACTTCTGTGTCTACACTGAATATTGCACTTCCAAATATTCATACATACATGAGAGAGAGAGAGTGTGAGTATATATATGTAGACATCATAGTAGAAGAGCAATAGGACATCTGTAAATACGACTGGAGATTTAAAAAGTTGGATTCTGATTTTTTTTTGTAATTTAATAAAAAAGCAGCATCATCTTCTGGATGTTGTTAATGTTCTCCTGAAAGTGGCATTCAGAAAATCAGTTTATTGCAGGGAGGTTCTCTGGCTCTTCTTTTTTTTTTTTTTTTTCTAATTTAAAGCACTTTCAGTAATGGTATTATGCTCTTCTTGGCCCCCATGAAGGGGAAAAAGACAAATACTATTACATATACAGCATGTAAAAATTCATACATCAATCAAATAGCTGTATGAACTGTTGAAGGTCGCTAAAACAGCAGGCATCAGTGTTAACCTGCATCTCACCATGCTCTCTTACACATCCAGGGAGGTAATCACAAGTGCTGAAGAAGGCTTGATTTCAGGCAAGGACACCTCAGCTCCACTCCCAGCAGGACAAAGCGGGTCCTAAACATTTTGGGACTTCAGGGCCTGTGGCTCTGGGCAGCTCTGCCTGCGAACAAGAGGTCTGCCCTTGGTTGTGGCTCTGCCTGGTTACGACACCGTTCGCTGCAGTGAGAATTCGCCACACCTGAGGACTTTATCACCCTTGGCAGTAACTGCTGGTTTTCTCTAGGGTGAGTATAGAATAATGTGAGTACTATTAATAGATAACTTACAAGTGAACCTTAGTGTTAAATCTTCTTACTTCTGAACTGGCATCCTGGTATCTTGAATTAGAACACCAGTGTTGAAAGTTGTTTTAGAACATTTTTTATGTCAATGTGGCTTAGCAAGCCCTGGAGCAGCCCTTTTAACCATAGTTCAAGGCAATGCCAAAGGCAGTGTGATAGCAGACGTTACTCTATTTCATTTTGTGTAACTCCTAACTAGAAACAAATAATACCCTAAATCCTGTGAGAACTTTTTTTATAATCTAGAGAACACCTGATCTTTATCAGTTTTTGTAAATTCAAATAATTTAGGTATATGCAATTTATTATTAAAGCACACTTAGGGACAACTTTTAGAAATGTACAGCTCAATTTTAATAAATATCAGAATGAAAATATGGCAGATACTGTGATTCTTAATTATTCTCTTAATGAAGCAGTGTTGATTGGCAGTTTTCAAAATAAGCAGTTGTCCTGAAATGTAGCAGTTTGATTTATAGCCATTGAAATTATTTGCTGTATAACGTTACTGCAAATTGTCCACCAGGGAGAGCTGCTGCAAAATTTTATTCCAACAATTGCTTCATTACCTTATAATAAAAAATATTAAATTCACCATGATAGGCACAGGTGAATCAGGTACTTTATTTCACTGGCCAAAGAAAAGTGTAGGCAGTAGTATCATGAAAGGGCAGATGGATATACCTAACAAGGCATTTCTGTTTATTTCTTTAATTGGCATACAAATATTTGAAAATAAAAACAGACACCAAAAAAACCCCTCCACACAAACTGTTTATGTTGTCAGACTACGAGGAATAGGAGAAATGCCTGAAATTTCAGAGTGTCTTTGGAGGTTCTAGAGGTCTTGGGTAGGAGCTGCAGAATTAATTCTGGTTCTCTTAGTG